CCCCAAACTGCCACCCACCTAGACTGAAAACTGGCTGTGGAGAGTGAGACTGCTGGGCGGTCTCTACTGAAGGGACAAACAAATAGCAACTGTCACATATGAGTAACACACTTTAACATAATAATCGACATAGTTTTCTTGTAAATAAACTACTCTGTCTCTCTTTTGTATCTCTGAATGCTATAATACAAGAGTGAGGGTCAGGACCACTCCAGGTCACCTGATAAAAGAACAAAAAAGTGAATGAAGAGAATCAAACATGTATTTTCTCGATGATTCCTCTCGCAGGTGGAGCAGTACTTGTGTGCCGCGATCTGAAAGTGGTTTCAGTTGCTGCTCAGTGCTCCTCTCAGGCCGTGATCACATAGGATGCGTTTTATTCTCCAAGCAAAGCTCAGCTGTGAGCGACAAAAGTGACAACAGCAGCAGGAGCTTATCGGAGAGAGAAGCAGTATTCTGTTTGCCATTCAACTGTCTGGTTTTATAAACCTGAAGTAGTTAATGTCTTAAAAAAAATGACAAAAAGGTTATGTATTTGTCCGTTTATGCTAGGGCTTAGCTAACGGCAGTTTACGAGTAATATCTTTTGTGGCTCGGGTAGAGCTTTATCTTTTTATTACGTCTTAAAAACAACCCTAGTGATGTCATCGGGGTTATCTTGGCTTCGGACATTTTCTGACTGAACATGTGTTGGGGGACATGAACTTTGAAAGACATTAGTTTTTACCAGGCAGGCTCAGGAAGAAGACGCTATTGAGTTGCATTATGGGAAGTGTAGGATCTAGTGTTTATAAGTTAAGACATCACTTCATCAGGTGAAATTAACTTTATAAAATAATCAACATAAGTCCAAAACTGAATTTTATGATTCTGATACTTTATTGTACATTAACTGATTTTCGGGCCATTTTGGGGCAGCACATACAAGCTGTGACACATCATTTTAATATAACTTTTCTTAGCAAACAGCTTCTTATTTAATGCTCCACTATGTTCATTGGCTAGTTGCTAACTTTGTGTGTATGCTGTTTGGTGCTGGGCAGGTAATGTGTGGTGGGTTCATTGGAGCTTTTTATTCTTTTTTTTATAGAAAAAAACTGCCTGCTACAAATGGAAACTATGTTGATGAGAGCCATTAGACTCAATCATTAAAGTTGCAGGCCAGAAAACAAAAACAACGAGCTGATAAAATACTCTGAGTATGTGTGGAACTGCAGAGTTTGGTGATAATTCTCAGTGGGTTCATCGCTATGAGTGACCCTTTCCACAGTACACATACTAATTTGACCGATGGTTAGTATAAAAATATTGATTATAGCAGCTTTAAGTAATTGACAGACTTGTAGTTGGCATTTTAAGGCTTTTTGTTTTTGCAGCTTTTTGCAACAAGCATTGTATCCAAAGTAAGGACAAAAGCCTCTTATGTAATCATGGCCTAGTGAAGCAATGATAAAAGACATTACATTTAATTTTAATGATATTGTGTTTTATCGACTATTTCTTTCACTTAAATTGTGAGCAAAGACTGGTGAATAAGAATTCTGGGATGTTTGAGAAGGTTCATTTATTATTAATTTGAGCTTTTTAAAGTCTGTAACATCAGCTTGTATGTGGATATTTTTGTATGAGTGTTTTTTTCTGCATATAAAATTTGCTTTGGATGAACATCGGTGTGAATGTGACAATGTTTTGAAGTAGGGTATTAACATCTGGGTCATCGGAGTACAAAAAAACAAACAGCCACACACACTCAGCGGTTCAGTTAAGCCCTACAGCATCACGCAGAGAGTGTAAAGAGAGGTTAAGGTCAGAGGAGACATTTTATGTGTATATGTGTAGTATTTAGGGAGAGAATGAGATGTGTGTGTGTGTGTGTGTGTCTGGTCCATCAAGTGACTGGAATGTGTTTGTGTGGGCAGCAATGTTCTGAACAGCAGGACGTCGCTGAAATATTCCTCTAATTCAGTCTGGAAAACCAAAAGCTGCGGAGGGAGGCGAGCAGCCGTCACATCACGAGGCCACGGTGAACGCAAGGTGAACACCAAAATCACCAAAAAGACGACAAAATGAGAGGCAGGGTGGATGGAGAGGGACGCAGAGAAACAGATGCATCCATCAAAAAGCTAGATTGCAGTTTCTCTATTGTGGCACAAACATAATCAAACGCTCTGTGATGCTGAAGTGAGGCATACAGCAGTTTGTGGCCTGCAGTTAAAATGCTGAAATAACAAAGGAATACACACGTTCTCCTGTTTTCACATTCTGTTTCCTTTCTTCTGTTTCCTTCGTTGCCCTTGGTCTGTGCTTGATTAGCATGCAAGTAACACAGGTACAGGAGGCATTTATCTTTGCTCACCCTGCAGCAGCCAAACATGCACATCAGATGCTGAGGAGAGATGAGGAAATGTTGCTGCAGAGCTCAGAATGAACTTATTATAACGGTTCAAATAACTGCTATAATAAGTGTCAGTAATTTAAAAAATTAAAGCCACAAAAAAGCTTTTTAAGCTGGTCGGCTCTACTCGGGTTTAGGGAATAGTGTAGTGTTTGCATGAACCAATTAGCATAGTAAGAAGTTTGAGGTTCTATTGGTGACGGTGTACACCTGCATGGATATGATCGAAAATTAGCTGGTAGGCGATGCAGCTAATGCAAGCACGGCTAGAGGGCTCTGCCCGAGCTACGCTCCATTTGCGTGCTTATTCAACCAACATCCATTAACTTTTAGAGGTTTTATAACTCTCTGCGTGGGACAATTGGCCACTTTAGAGCAGATGGCAGTTTTGGCTTAAATTCACTGTTATGTACCAGATTTCCTCTTTATAGCTGAGAGAATTCTGTAACTGCATTTAAATTAACGTCATTTTGTACCTTTTTCCCTTCAAAATAAAACGTATCACGGGGTCAAAATTGTGCTACTGCAAGATGGTTAATAATTGGCATTGTTTTTAGCTTAGTACTGCTTGTAAACAGAGAGTGGGACAGTGGAGGGAGACATCACGTCACCCCCTGCTGTTTGCATTCAGAACTGTGTGTCCAAATGACACGCTCGGTCTTCGTACACTTCAGATCTCCCTACCACCATCCCCCCTGTAGACTGTGCATTTTCTCACTGTTTCAGATGATTGGATCAATTTGATGGAATGTATACGGTACAGTGCATGGTGCTTGGTAAAGAACAAAACCACGGGTCTCTGCAGGGGAGAGGAGGAGAATAATCCCTGCAGCGATAGAAGGGCTGGAGAAGAGGAGGGGAGACAGGGGAGGGGAGGGTTAAGCTCTGAATTAAAGATGAGGAGAAATCAGTTTAAGAAGCAGAGAGATCAGTGACTCCGAGCACAAACACACTTACAGCTTGACAGCCAAAGTCAACAAGCAGTGTGTGTGTGTGTGTGTGTGATGGGTAGTTTTGATTGAACAGAAATTCTATTCTGCGGCTTTTCTTTGCTCTGTGTGTGTTTGTGTGTGTGTGCGTGTTATTGGGCATGAGTGTCAAAGGGATGTAAATTACTTTGATTTCACAATTTTCATTTCAGTGCTTTGGTGTGAGTGTGTCAGAGGGATGAATGATTTTGAATGAGTGTGTGTGTGTGTGTGTGTGTGTGTGTGCACGTTCCTCTGTACTGAACAGAGATAGACAGACAGTCGGGAGGAAAATCTCCAACTGAGATGGAGGGAAAAGCAGAGGAAGTGTGATGACTTGAACCACAGGAAGCTCCACCGGGCCAAACTCTGCTAATAGATGAGCAATATTAACACAACTTATCTGTGAAGAGCAAACACAAACCTTCAGGCTAACGCTGCTCAGCGGGGAAAACTCAATATCATCTCAGGCTACAGTGAGCCACTTCATTTGAGGATAATTTAAAAGTTTACTTCGGGTTGTTAGCCTATAGACTACAGTGTAGACAGGGGAAGGGCAGGATGTAGCCCGCAGCTTTTCTGTCCTATGTTGATACATCACCTCCCACTAATTGTTTTCTTCTCTCATCTATCTATAAGTTTGTGTTCAGAGTGACATTAAAATATGGCACAAATGCAGAAAGTCAAGCAAGAAACACAAAGTTGAGCAAAAGCTGATCACCATCGTAATACAAGCATCAAATTCATCAAGATGGAGGAGAAGTGAAAGGTGTGGTTTGCTGTTGGGTAGAATTTGCAAGACTTACAGCAGCGTTTCTCAAACTTTTTGCATCTCAGAAAATATTGACAAGTTAAAATACATTAGCGTAGGCCGTATTCAACTACAGACAGTTCATGTAGGAGGAAGGTATTTCACATATACAAATAAGTCACATGTTGATTTTCAAAACGAAAGTACCATTAACCATTAATGGGTTTGCTTATTTGAGCCAATACCTTATCAATACCTACTTCAAATGAATCACCCACACTGGTGCTGGGCAGCTGTGAAGACTCAGAAGTTTGGAAACTGCTGTCACAGAGAAACACTGATACTGCAAAAATGCTGAGAGGTCTCTTTAGTTTTTTCTTTTCAAGACTGTAAACATGTTTTTATCTGAACTCTTACTGAACCCTTTGTTGCAACTGCACTGTCACTGTCATGTCAGTGTGGCTACTGCAGTGTAAACCTAAGGAGAATGTGTTCGGGCTGAACATACTATATGAGGAGGTAATATCTGTAGACAATGTGTTTTTAATGCTTTAACCCAACATGCCTTGTGTGTTTGCAACATCTGTCTTCTGTCTGCTAAACATCTGCTGTACAGCGGATATGTAGGCTAAATGCCGGTCAGAGTGGTAGAGAGTGTCTGGTGTCTGCTTTATATCCGCATGCATGGAGCCTGTGCAAAACACACACAAACACACACGTGGGTTTACATTTGTAGGAAATGTAGTCCTAATTCTAAACAAACATCCACACACGAAGGAAAAAACCCACGAGTAAAGAATCATATAACGATCATTCAGGAATTTATTCCAGGAGAAAGACAAACGAAACACAATCAGTCGCTCTGGCCTGTGTCGTCATGGTAACTCTGATATGTGCACATGATTGTCGAAGGCATCTGATATACAAGCCCCATTAACAGAAAGTCATCATCGCCATCACAGCACGAGTGCGGCAGGCAGGGCCCGCTCTGAGACACGAGTGTGTCGTCGGTGTGTGACAACGGTGCACGGGATGGGAGTTGGTTGTGGTCACATGCAGAGAGTAAATACAATACAGCCGGCTAACTCAGCGGGCTCTGGACGAGGACGCCCACAGGGTGACACCGGGTCCCAAAAAGCAGCTTGTGTACAGTTTTAGCCCTACAAACAAATTCTCAGAGGCAGAGCTGCTCTCATTGGTTGAGTTCCATCTTAAGGGCGGAGGTTAAGGAGGCTTTGTAACGTTAGCTGGACTGAAGCTAACAGCTGCTAGCAAGGCAGCTTTGACGTACCGGTGCTAACCAAAATCTAGCAATGCTAATATCGTGGCTCCTAAAGCATTTGGCAACAGTTCATTTTAAAAACACTTACATATAAGTACATTAAAGATCAGATATAGTCTAGAAGAAGATATAGCAAATATAGTCTCTTGTAAAATTAACCTTAAATAAATAAAAGTAGCCATTAGCTACATGTACCTGACCTCCATGGAAGCAGAGTTAGCAACAAGTCTGGCCTGTAGCTTTTTAGGATAAAAATAGTCAAGAAAAATTCCCCATATAAAGCTATCTGAGTTAGCTACGTAGCCTATACTATTAGTCAATTTTTTAACTCGTAATATAAGGCTATTGCTAACCAGATCAGATGTAATAAATTTCAAGATCATCAATGAATAAGAAAGCAAAAAATTTAAAGAGTTTTTGCACAGCACTATTGGGCAACCTATTTTGTGGCAAGTCAGAATTTGCAGATAACTTAAAAGATAAAAAAATGGTGCAAAAAGCAGCTCTAGAAACAATGATTCGATTTCACCAGCCACAAAAATCCATAAATAACTTTTTGTATCAACACAGTTTGTGCCGACTTGTGTACGAAAAAATAAAAAACTCTTTAACATCCATATCAGTAAATTATTATCAGGCCAATGTATGCAGGGAATCAGCAGCATTAGACCAGCTTTCATTGAAGGGAACCATGTTGGAAGATGGTGACCAGTTCTCTCAATAAATGCCAGTTTGGTTGATTATTTCTGCCTCTCGAAACCGTTTGTAGGACTGAAACTGTAATCTGCTGCCGAATAAACCTCAGGCATCTCAACCTGTGTACGTCTTTACACAATACAGAGATACTAACATCATACAAGGGCATATAAGATTATGCAAACACTCATGGTGAAGTTGAATCCTTGAAGCACTTTTTTTCGACATGCTTGTGTTTTCATCTTTTGTGCCGATGCACTTCTTCGTTAAAAAAAAAAAAAAAGTTCAGAGGAGTGTGTGCTCGAAGGGCAAAGGGCGGACGAGAGCGGGTCGCAGCCGGCCCCTCGTTCTTAACAGTGTGTTTCTGAGTCGGTCACAGCTTTGGATTTCTTCCTTTAGAATGGCAAAAACGTAAGCCTGAGTTCAGTAAACGATGCTTTCACTTTTAGTTTGGACTGACACTGAAGTGGTGGTGGAACACTGATGGCATTAACCCGCGCTGTGTAGCTCAATCACACAGTGCCCGACTGTAT